AATCACCCCAAACTTTCTATGCAACATAAGTACATGTGTATGTGCTGGGGGATGTGATAAAAATCGAAAATTTTCTACTTTTTATTTTTGACGAAATTTGGCCTGTACTATAGTACAGAGACTTTTGAGTAACTTATAAAAAATCCAAACTTGATTGGAATCAGCTCACACTTTCTATGCTACATAAGGACATGTATATGTATCAGAAAAAAATTATAAAAATAAAAAATTATCTTTTAGTCATTTTTTTGCTAAATTTAGCTCAAGTCCCTGTACACATGTATAGTAATAAAGTTTCATTTAACAATTTTGTCATTTGCTAGTGTATTTGGTACATTGTATAAGTAAATATAGCTTCATAATGGAGAGCTTGAGTGTGTGTGTGTGTGTGCTGGTGATACTTGTTGTCTCACATACAACACTCACAATGTCATTATGCTCATACACTAGGAATGCATCATTAGATCACATCCTTAGCACCACCTGCTAGTAATAGCTAATTCCACTAATTGACTCACTCATTTGTATGCTTTTAAATCATTTCTCTAACATATCTACAAGTGTAAACATCTATTCTTGGCATCTCAATGGTGTTCATGGAACTTCATTTCCACACTTTGGAATGCAAGGGAACAGACGTTATGTGTCATTGTCACTCATTGATATAATTACTGCCCTGTGTGTGGTTGGTTGTATTTGTAGTTTTGGGTGTGTGCAGTATGTTATCGAGAATACTCACTCAAGCGCTTGTGACTTTTTGTGCAATGGAATTTTGTGATATTCCTTTATGCATAAAGTAATGTGGAGAATGCATATAGATCTATACTGTGCAATAATACTGTTAGTTTTTTATATTGAGAAAATTTAGTTTAAAATTTGCTAAATAAATTAGAACTATATAATAATGAAGTTAATTAATTATTATACAATATAATGGACTAATTACAAACATCATAACTTAATCGATTGATTTCATACTCAGCCATGCGAGCTAGAGTCAGGCAGGCAGCTTGTAATGCTAGTAAATGAAACTAGCAGACTAGCCTAGCCTAATGTATTTACGATTTTATTTTTTTGTGCTTGTTCATGTCAGGATGTCAGCAGTTCTTAAATTGTGGCAGCTAGAGTACAGGCTGGTTTTTACCCCCTGTGAAACTTAATAATAACAAGAGTACATAATATTAGGGAGAGTATCCAACGCACCTATAGTAGCCTGATACATCACGGCGTATTGTATACATCAGTATACTTCTTTAGTATACAGAAATATACTATTTCACACATTAACGCTAATAAAAATTAATTATAAGCGTGGGAGGAGTGACCATGTGTTTCAAAATGGCTGCCACGGAGAAGTTTATGAGCTCATTTATGAGGCTGTAAGCAAGTTGAAAGACTTCTTAGTGGCAAGATATGACTTCCTTAGGTATCTATG